ATTTTTAAATCCCCGCGAGTTCGAACTAGGCTTCCTAGTTCAAACTACCTAGTTTGAGCCCCGTGTAGCCGCGCTGCACGGGGTTCGAACTAGCGGGGATTTAAAAATGGCGGCGCCCCGCTTATGCAAATGAAGCCCGGGAAATTCAAATCCCGGTCTTCATTTGCAATTTCGGTATGCCTACATTACCCACCTACTTCGAATTAGGAGGGTAGTGTAGACATACCCTAATCGGTTAACAGAGGGGTGGGCAATATTTTTTGATGGGAGGGGCCACGCCAAGGTCTTGGTAAGCGGTCGAGTGCCGCACTCGTCCATGATGTTAATGGAGGAAACGTGGGTCTGGGATGGAGGTCGGGCGAAGGAGGCAGGTGTGTCCTGGGGCACTGGACTGGGGTGCAAGCCTTTGGGTTGTGACATAGGGCAGAGGATTGAGGTGCCTAAACTATTCGATTAGTCAATTAATCAAAATTTAACATCCCTAAACTGGAGAAGGGCACCGAGCAGAGAGCCCCGGACAGCGCCCACCGCCCCTCGTAGGTCGAGAGAGCCAGCAGACGCCGCCCAGCCGAACTCTGCCTGGCAGAACGGATACGTGAACGGATACAGGAGCGGGCCCCTCCCTCGGCCAACTCTGCTCTGGTCTTGTGAATGGCCGTTGTGTCCATAGCCGGGAGGAGGTTGGCCAGGAGGTCCCGTGACTTTGTGGGGCCGTGGACGGGGTGGGTGTAAATTAATCGGTGAGGGGAGAAGTGCAGCCAGAACCCCAGCAAGAGGTTCCAGAGGAGCCAGAAGAGGGGCTGTAGCCTGGCGCACTTGAGATAAACGTGCTCCAGGGTCTCCCCCTCACACCGCAGAAGGGGCGAGTGTCGGGAACGGGGGGAACCGCGCCGAGTACATGCCCGTGCTCACGGCGCCATGGAGGATTCTCCAGCTGATGTTCCCTGCGGAGTGTTCTGGCGCTGCTGGCAGGGAGGGAGCCTGTCTTAGAGGCCTGCTCGCTGGGAGCTGCTTAGGTAAGCGCCACCTGCTAGAGCCTGGCTCTGGTACCCCAACCCCTTCTGCACCCCAATTCCTTCCCAGATCCTGCACCTGCTGCTCCATCCCTCCCCTAGGGCAGAATCCTCCCCTGCACTAATATAGGGATGTTAAGGGCCAGCTGACTAGTTGCTTCCCCCAGTAGAGGCAGCATGGGGGTGAGAAGGGGGATACTTCAAAGCGGCAGTGTGACGGGGCACCTCTGCCCCCCACTGGAACCGCCCCCCAACGCTGAATCGAGAAGTCTTGGTGGTTGTGGGGCAGGAGCAGGGAGCCGCAGGAAAGCCAGCCCGGGGAACAGCGGGAGGAAGCGCAGGTGGCAGAGTGGGAGACGCATGTGGATGTCACTGGGGACATCATCCCAACGAGCCAAGGGGGGAGGATCGGGGACGCCGTGGGGGGCAGAGGCCCGGACGCCCGGGCGAGGGATTTAAAAGCGCCTAAGGAAGCCTGAGGGGAGGAGGAGATACAGGAGAGGAGTGACGGCGACCGGAGACCGAGGAAGGCGGATGCCAGCGTAAGCGAGACGTGGACAGCCAGGGTGAGCTTTAACCCGGGTCCACCGGGCAGACGTGGAAACGGAACTGGGGAAGAAGTGGCTCAAGGCAGGGTCATGGACCCCGTGAGTGGGGGAGTTTAGGGATTACAGCCCCCTCCGTTTAGTAGGGACCTAGGTCCCTACCTCAGGGCCCTGGGTCGGGGTTCAGAGAGAGGGCGGGCCCGAACCCCCTTCCCTGGTAGCCCGTGAGCTAAACTGGCCTTGTACAGGTAGAAACCCAGACAAAACAGAATAAACCATGCAACTGTTACTGGGCACAAAGGAGTAACTTGGTGTGGGGGCAGACGGGAGTGGCGGGGAGGGGGGACGCGAACCCCGTGAAGGGAACTCGTAACAGGCAGCACCACACGGAGCCCAGGGTCAGCCAGGGAGTCCCCAGCTGACCCCTGGGCTCTGTGTGGTGCTGCCACTTTGAAATGCGGCTCTGCCCTATCAACTAATCGAATAGTCAAAGCAAAAATGCATCAACTATTCGATTAGTCAATTACACGCCTCCTGGGCCCTGCACTCAAATCCCCTGTCCCAAGTCACAGCCCCTCCTCCCCCAAACGCCCTCTCAGCCCTGGTCTACACCAGGGAGTTATTCTGAAAGAACAAGCGGAGCGTCCACACTACCAAGCCCGTTATTTTGAAGTCTGAGCTGCTTTCCACGAGGAATAACTAGGGATGTGAGGAGTAGCCGAGTGGTCAACTCCCCTAAGCAGGGGCTTCTCAGGTAGCACTATGGACAGCTCGGTCCACCCCTCACCGCCCCGCTCTGCGCTCTGAAAGGGACAGAGAGGAGCAGGTGCACGAAGACACTGTCTCAATCTCAGGTCTCAGGACAAACCTGCGCCCCCCCCCCACCGCCCTCCCCC